TTCTAATTGTGCAAGTGTAGCTAAAGTCTATATTCATTAACTAAAGTTTCTATTCACTAAGACTGGATATAATATATTTAAACTATATGTAGATTTTTCATATAAAATATAATTTCTTTAATTACTCTTGTATTTTTTTTTATTTTCATGTGCATAATTAGATATTTATGCTATTTTTTTTACATTTAATCATTGAAAGAGATTTTGAAATTTAGATAAGAATAGAACAACTTAGAAGCTTGGTTTTAGACATAGACTATAATCTTATTATAAACAATTCTTCTTAATGCAAATTTTGTGTTAACTAAGGGATTAATCTTTTCACATAGATCTAAGGAATTAGAATGTTTAAATTTATGATGTTAATGCTTGAGTATATTAAAGATATATTGTGTAAATTACATTGAGTTTATTTCATGAAATCAAATCTTATTGAATATTTGTCCTTATCCTTTATATAACTTTAATTTAGTAACTTTCTATATACTTTTAATTTAATTTCATCTGTAATTAAATTTGAATCAATAAATATTTATGTTCATAACCAGAATGAGTAAATAAAAACAATTCACTAAATAAATTTAAATCATTTTAAAAAATAATATTTAGATTTTATTTTATTATTTGTACAATTAGATACACTTGTGAAATTGAATTTAATTTAATTGACAAAATGGATTCAATATATATTTAATCTAATTTACAGATTGAATAAAATCCAAAATTAATTTATCTAATTAAAATAAATATAAATTATAAATCCTATATATTTTATTGGATCAAGATTGGAACTGAAATTTGAAAAATGCAATCCCTTAAATATAATTGTAGGAAAATTATTATAAAAATCAGAATAATTTTATTATATATACGACACTTTTAAATTACATGGTACTCTAGAAAAGATTAAATTGTGAATGAATTTAACTTAAAAGTAATAAATAAATGTACCGTCCTAAACTGTGGTGGAACGTAGTTGTTCTGAGATGTATAGGTCGCACATTGATTGTATTATAATTTGATGATTAATGGTGGGAAGTTCGAACTTGAATTATGCGCACTAACGAAAGCTTTCTCACTTGCATCATGTGCGAGAGCAAAAGGTAAGTCCATGATTATCATTTTGATGTCCCAAATTTTCATCATTGTGTTCCCAATTTGGGTTGAAAAACCCTATGAACATAACAACACCTATAGCTGCCCCAGCCACTAAAAAATCTCAGGTCCATTTCCAAAGGTTTTACTTTTTCTTAACTTGATTTTTTGTCCTCTCTTCAAAGAGTCCAATTGGACCTGTAGATTAATGAATCCCTGGCCCAGTTCAATCTTCACAAATATTTGCTTAATAAACAAGGAAGAACAAGAAGACGAGTTGCACAACAGTATCATATCAAAAATCTTGCATCTCACTTTTCTTACCTTTTTCAATTGTCATTTCCTTCATAAAATTGTTAATATTCTATTGCAGAGGTAATTAAGTCATTTGTACAGTACTGTGTCCAAATATTTTAATTCCAAGCTCTAATTAACAATAACAATAATAAAAAAAATAAGGGATAAGTAATTGAAATAATGATTCAGAGTTTGTCAGTGACAGAATATGTAGTCCCAGTAGAAGATGGACGGACCCTTGTGTTACAATCATCCATATATTTTATAGCATAGCATGCATGATCTATGAGCATTGATCAATGATAGCTATTTATGTGCCATCTTCATCAAGTTTAAAATACTTGATGGGGTTATTTAAACAATTTCCTTAAAATCATAGAAAATACTTGTGGAATCTTAATCCTATTGTAATGAGGTTTTGTCTTTTAAAAGATGTTTGAGGATCTTATATTTAAGAAAAATAATTGACTAATTTTATTATAATTTTGTCCTTAAAAAAATACATTATAAAATAAAAAATTTATATTTAAATTATCTTAAATTTTGATTTTTAAATAATTATAAAATAATGAAAAAAAATTAAATTATTTTAAATCTTAACTCTTAGATGATGTAAACATATTAGAAACAATTATATGTTCCAGTAATTGGATGAAAAAAATATGAAACGATAAATGAATTACAATAGTAAGAATATATTAATAATAAAATATTCGTAATTAGAGGATGCCATGTATTGTTGTTAGGACAGTATATATACATCTTTCTCTCATCGTCATGGTTTCGGACAAAGTTGTAAGCTTGTAATTGAAGGATGTCCATGTGTGTGTATATATATAATTGCTGGGACACTAAAGATCTGTCTCTGATTCTCATGGTTTTGGATTACTTTTTATATACAATAACATTGCTGAATGCTGAAGCAAATAAGCTCCTTCCTCAAAGGACTTGCCCAATAATCATTTCTGATAGCTAATTTAACTCTCACTTAATTATCTGATAATAACGGTAAAGCTGATTTGAGAAATAAATCCTTGTGTCCACAGAATCATTTTAATGTTTGTCAATAGCACATCCTATGAATTTAGGTCAAACTATGCCCCTTTTGACTTCCTCATCATCATAACATAATAAATTAAGATAATTGAATTTGCCACCTGAATCAAGGTATGACAGTGTGAACTGAAGGAGTAGTTGAATAAATATACTATAATGTAAGGCTGTTCTGTATAAATTATTATTATTATTATTATTATTATTATTATTATTATTATTATTATTATTATTATTATTTTGGGTAGGTTAAGAAAAGAAGAAACACCAACGCAGATCAATTGCAATTTAGGAGCTTAAAATAAAAAAGGTATATGTCATGCATGCTATTAATTATCGAAAGATTAAAATCAGCATTGCCAGTACATGTAGGTTTACAAACTCCAAATTAATTCTGAAAGATAAATGATTAGTAATGCACAAGATTTAACTTAAAAGTTATTTAAAATAATTAATTCTAAATAATAATAATTCGATATTATTTAATATTTAAATGTTTAATTAAAACGATTTTTCAAAAAATACAAAAATTAGTGGTGTTGATACCAAATAAAGCAGGCCTTGGACCAAAGCCCACTAGGCCTTATCCATTGGAACTTTCTTTCTGTACCTTCAAGTTTTTTCCTTGCATTTCCAAATTTCATTATCATATGACAAATTTAACCTTCAAATATATGTAAAATATAAAATAAATTAGGTAAATAATAATTATTGTTTATCAGTCTATATTTACTGAATGACCATATACTCAAGTCACTTTTGAACGCGTTTACTTTCGTCTTTCGTCTTCTTTAGCTTTCTTTTTCATTAAACAGCAACGTAACTTTTCTTTGGTCTTGCTTATTTTGTCTTCATCTCATCTCGTTTATTTTTATTTTCGTTCATCTTCCAAATACACATTTTTTTTCTTATTTAAGTTTCATTTGATATTTTATATTTATTTTGTTTAAAGTTTTATATTCATTTTTATTATATTTTGCATGTATCAAAATTTGAAATTCCGAAATCTAGTTTAAGAAACTTATCGAATTTCGAAATTCTGTGAAGTTTTTTTTTGGATTTCAAAATCAGATGAAGTTTTTTTTCGAATTTTGAAATCTGACGAACATAAATGAAATGTGTGAGAGAGATTACACAAATAATTTTACAATTGATCATATTTTTCTCACACGTAATGAGTTAATTGAGTGAGTTCGATAAATTGTTTTTTATCTTAGTTTTGTTGTTGTTATTATAAAATCTGACAAAGCTAATGGTTAACTTGGGAGAAAAACGTTTATATTGCTAGGATGTAAAATAGGTGGAAAGTATAGAAAATATAATGTTCATCCTATATATCATGCACATAAAAAATATGATTGTCCTTATAAATTGATAGACAAATCAATTTCTAATGGAGAGGGATGAGTATTAAAGGTAATGTGTGGACATTATAACCATGATTTTGTATGTAAGATACACTTACAAATGATCATTGAGAGGTTTGAGAACTGAACTACAGCTACTGATTATGATGTTCGAATGCGATAAATGTATCCACTAAAATATATGTATCAACAAATTTAAGGTGATAAGAGACATCTTTTGGACACATCTTGATGCAATAAAATTGTTGAATACATTTAATATTTTTTTTCTCAATGAATAACATATAGAAAACAAAAAAGATATTGATTTCCATTGGTTGGAGTCACATCAATAGGGTTGACTTTCTTAAGTGCTTTTGCATTAAGTGAAGGACAAAATAATTTCATTTAGGCCCTATAAAGGTTAAGACATTTTATTTTTTTGACATCTCAAGACGATCCACAAGTTATTGTTAATGACAAACCTAATTTTGATGAATGTCATAGGTAGTGTATTCCCTTAATGTTATTATCTCCTATGTCGTTTTCACATTCAGAAAAAATGTACATACCAAGTGTAAATGTTAGTCAATTTTGTAAATATCATCATGGAAGTATGTAAAAATCTCATGAAAAATAAACATGAATCAATATTTACTAATTGTGTTGATCGCTTTAATAATGTATTTATTGGCCTTTATTTCTTAAATATCTCACTAATTAAATAATTTTTTGAAAAATTGAAAATATGTTTTAATAACATTTTATTAAGTTACAAATAGCGGTTTCTTTTAACAACTCTAAGAAAATAAAAGTATGTTTTAAAAAATATTAAACATGTATAGTCTTCATAATTGCATGAAGAAAGGCCGTTAAACCTTTTTAGCTTAGGGTTAAGTGTAAGGTTAGCATAAGATTGGTCGAAAGCTGATCCTAATAGTACCTAGGCCAGGCCTATAGAGGAAGTAATAGCAGAATGAAGCGAGGATGATAAAGAACCAAAACAACATGGAAAATCCAATAGAGAAGAAAACATATTGGCATTTGTAATGGTATGTTTTTGTTTGAGCACTCATCCTTTTCCTACCCATGCAAGGAACAGTGGAAAGCAAAACCTGAACTCAAAGCTTATCCTAACTAAAAAGAATCACTTCATGGAAACCATTAAGTCATCCTTCCCTCTTCTCCTATATAACATTCTTTTACTTCCACTAACCAATCTCATACGTCAATTCAAAGCCGATAATAAACTTTAACAACAAAAACAACCCACGATGTCGTTGAGTCCTCCGAGAGAGAGAAACAACGTGAATGGCAGAAGGCGAGAGAGGCCAACGTTCCAGATGTACTGGTGCTTCCAGTGCAACCGCATGGTCCGCGTCGCAGTGGATAACAATAACCCCTCAGAGGTCACGTGTCCGCGCTGCTTCGGCCAATTCATATGCGAAGTAAACGTGCCGCGCCCAAGACTCGTTGTCGATTTCACTACCCCAGACCCCTCCCCAGAAGCGCGTTTGCTCGAAGCGCTTTCCCTCATGATGGACCCACCCATACGCCGTTTCCCGGGTCTCCTCCAACCCGAACCCGAAGAGGTCCCGGTTCATCACCACCGCCGCCGTCGCTTACGCCGCCACCAACCCGAACCCGAATCCGAACCCGTCCCTGAACCCCCACAACCCCGCCCGCGCACGTGGATCGTATTCCAGCCCATGGACTCACCCAACCCCTTCCTGTCCATTAACAACATTCCTAACCGCCCCGGCCCAGGCCCACTTCCATTCCCGCTCCCGCGCGCCGTGGACACTCGCGACTATTTCTTTGGACCTGGACTCAACGAACTCATCGAACAGATAACCGAAAACGACAGACAGGGTCCCGCGCCGGCGCCGGAGAGGGCCATCGAATCGATTCCGACAGTGAAAATTGTGAGCGCGCATCTGAAGGAGAATTCTCAGTGTCCAGTTTGTCAGGAGGAATTCGAAGTTGGCGGGGAAGCGAGGGAACTTGCGTGCAAACACATATATCACTCGGATTGCATTGTTCCGTGGCTGAGGCTTCACAATTCTTGTCCAGTGTGCCGTCAAGAGGTTCCTGTGCCGTCTTCTTCGTCGGAGGAGGATGAGTGTGTTGATGTAAGCGGAGATGAAGGTAGGTTGCGGAGGTGCTTGAGGTGGACCCGTCGTTTTACTTCGGTTTGGCCTTTCAACTCAAGGTATCGACGGGTTCACCCTCAAGGAAATAATAATGTTGCTGCTGCTTCTTCCAGGGGTGAATCATAATTAATTTTATTCAATTCACTGCTTATTATTCTATCTTCATCACTCTTTCAAATTAGTGTTTCATACTTGTGTTACTGTCATCACTGTTGTGATGTGCTGGTGCTGCTGCATTCAGTTCAATTAAATCATTCTTTGTTTGCTTATGCTATCTTATGAATTATTAAATTATCACCTATGGTGAAAGAGTTGGGTTGTTATTATTGTTCTCTTACGAAATTCAAATTCTCTCTTCGTAATCCATTTCTTTCGTTGAGACACTGGTTAAAATACATTATCAGAGCTATTTCTTAATTGAGGTGCAATTTATGTGTGCTATTTCTGAATTGAACAGCAAATTTTGTGTTATTTCTGAATCGGGAGCAATTTTTGTGTGTTAATTCTGAATTGAGGAGCAAAATTTAAAATGATGTTAAGATAGCTATATAATGTTAACTTGGATACTGGTTTAAATATATTTTGGGGTTTTGATTGATTGTTACTACAGATATTATGCTTGTCTATAAATGTTCTCAAATTGAGATGTATTTTGATTATACGAACTCGATTGGAATGTGATGCAGTTTAGGAGATTTTGTGCATGAGTGTGTAAAGTGTTATTAGCTGATTTGGCTCACCATTTATTTATTTATTGGCCAGGATATTTTGCATCTGACAGTCCGACACTCTCTGGCGGTACGAACCAAAATCTAACACTTCTAGGATTCTCCCAATGAATTTTGAAACCTAAGGAGAAAAGAAATATAAGTACCACAAATGAGACAAAATAAAACTGCATGTTGATCAGGTGTTAGTTTGTAGTGATTGAATACAGGCACCAAATACTGAAAAGTAACCATCATATTTGCTTTCATTTGCAGCAGTTAGGAGGCAACCCTCTTGCTGCATTCTTTAAGCTCTCCAATTATTTACATCCAAGGCTGATGAACTGGTTAGGTTGCAGCTTGTCTAAAAGGGCACTACTCAACATGTCATGATCCCCAGTAAGTTAATTTCAAGCCTCTTTTCAACTTTTATTCCATCTTAAAACTAAATAAATAAATAATAGTTTAATTAACTTTTTAATCCCCTAATTAAGATATACTTCTATCGTTTTTTGTCTCTTGAAGAAAAAACTTGTCACTTAGTCCCTCAAAAAAGGTTTTAGTTATTGTCCTTCTTCAATAATAACGTGACTAATGGATTAACCATATGACCAAAATCTACTATTGATAATTTTTAGAGATTAAATTTAAAAGAGGTGTGTAAACTGTCAATTAAAACCATACATAAATAAATTGTGTTCCGAAGCAAAAGCCTGCTTCTGAATAAAGTTTCAACGGATGAAATGCGTTTTGCAGGGGTAACATGGGCTTACGATTCAAAAATAAAGTGAAATGGCCCTCCTCAAGTTCCACTCAAATTGAAAAATGGATTCATCACCACATACTACGACATTCGAGATCCGTATGATATTGCCACTGTAAATATTATCTGTTATTGGCAAAGACAATTATCACAACACTACTGGCTCACTTTTTTTATAAAAAATAATATTACAAAGGCTACCTATCTATTAACTTTATGGTTATCTGATATTTTGCCAGACATTTTTTAATAAAATTTCTTCCTGATAATTTTTTTTACGGTTGATATCTATGATTGGGTATGTTATGTGAATAAAATAATAATAATCATGAAGATGTCCTTAAGTAAAATAACAATAAACAACCAAGAAACCCTTTGTAATCGAATACAATACCTAAATCAAATATGGTTGTTATCCTTAAGTAACAATGTCCTTCTTCCCTACATCTTCAGCGAACTGGTCGAACGCACAATTAGCGTTTAGTATTAACAATATTTTATCGAATAAATAACACGTATAATGGTAGTGTAAAAATATATTATCCAATTACAAATAATTTTAGATAATGAGTTTATTAACTTTTATAATAAGTAGCTTTAAATTAAATAAAATATTATTAGTTTTTATTGTGTCATTACATTTCTATTAAATTTATTTTGATAAGATTCATAAAATCCCATTTGAGTTCATAAAATTCTTTTTTATAGAATATATCAATTTTCTATTCGTGAACCCCAAACAAAATTAAAACGCCTACTGATTCATAAAAAAATCTAGTAATTAAAATTGTAGTCCAATTGTTATAAAAAACATGGCAAACATTTTAGACAATAGTTAATATAGAGTGAATAGTTGAGGATCATAAAGAGAAAAGATTTGGATCGTAAATCATCCAAATTTAGATCTACTATTTTTGTCTATTTAAAGTAATATTCCTAATTCAGTCTATGCTTTCAGTAAAGGACTACTCCCAGCTTAATGAATCGAATTAAAGGGATTCGGCTCTCATAGCAGTTACTTGAAGTTAAGTTACCTTTTTGTATTTAAGAAAGAATGTCATCAATACAAACCAAGAAAAGCTTCTCTTATGTTAAAATGATTACTTCAAGACAAGTTAAGTTGACTTCCATGAGATCCGAGTATACTCCACTTAAATTCTTTAAACAAGCTTTCGATTTTGACTATATCATTGTGAAGGTTATAAAAAAAATTGCCACTTTAATGTGCCTCTTTTTTTGGCTGATCAAATTGTATCAGAATCATCTATTCTGTAACATTTACCAGTATATGTGAATATCCAAACAATGCATGGTGTCATCACAAACTAAACATTGACCAACTAGAGATAAAAACTTTGGGGCCCTCTTACTTTCATACCAGCAAATCCTAAATCATCCTTCACATGGGCGGGGGCCGATAATGAGTACCAGCATGAAACCCTTCTGTATATGCTGTGTTCTTGAATATCATCTGTAATAAAGAATTGAATGATAAGAGGCATACTTGCATAACATGGAGGGTCTGATTTCCTGAAAAAAAGGAAATGCTCACTAGCATGTTCATATACTTACAGCAAGGTTCTTAAACTCTGAAGTAAGGTTTTTCTGTAATCTGTCAGATACCACTGTACCCAGCTGCTCCCCGTGTAACTTTATATTCTCTTCCTTGACCTGCATGACCATTCTTCAGCCTGATGCAGGATGTATAGCTTAACTTCGAACTGAGAAATATTTTTGTTTACCTCCGAAAGCAATAACTGTGACGTTTTTTGCAATATCTCTTCAACGAATTGACCAACATCTGCAACATAGCCTGATGAATTAACTTTTTTTACCGGTGTTGGTGATCCCTTCGTACTTTTCCCATCAGAAGACTTGACAACTTTGGCTGCACCAGAAAAAAACTATCATTAATTTAAGCAGTAGGATATTTCGGCCATAAACAAGCTTGTTCTGCTATCATTATTTACAAAGTTAACTAATGTACTGAAATCGAAAAATATTTAACGCTAAACATGTAGCAGTCCAATAGGGACTCAAGTATTATGAAGTGACTAAGTCTCACATCGAATAGTATAAGATACTCGATTGGGCGTTTCATTGGTAGATTCTCACTTCTTATTAAGCAGCTTTTTAAGTAGTGGTGTGCCAAAAATTCAAATATTCAAATTCAATCCAGAACCATTGGGATCCAAATAACTTTAAGTCCATTTTAATGAATCGTTTCAAATTCAAGTTGGCCTCCTCCAGAGCATCATCGTTATGATCTCAGTGGGGGTTGCTTCAGTTTCATCACCAAAAACGATTTGATGCTAAACGAAATCTTTCAAATCGCATCTCAAATTAAGGATATAAAATCATAGGTATGTGTAGAAATTTAGTGAGACCAGCTACAAAAATCCGGAAAAACCACATATATGCTGAATGGTACATAGAAAATGTCCCATGTTACCAGAACCAGCGAAACATTTAGTCTTGACTCACTGGTTAGGTGAATTTGTGCGACGTGGGTGGGTATTGACAGCAACCGAACCCCAGTTAATATAAAAGTTCGTAAGTTGTTTCACAATGATTTGTTTGCAGCCCGCATTCTAAAAACTGGAGTTTGGGATAGACAAGGCATGGGTGGGTCAATAATGGATAAGGCGTGGGTTAAAAATGGGAAATCCTACGGAGTTTCAAACATAAAGTGTTTAAAACCTGTTATCCCAGACGTATGGGGTACTTCATATCTCTATCCCAGATCGATGGCTCAACCTGGACTAGAGCATCATCGACCCAGCCTCAACCAAAGCATCGTAGAAATGAAAGCAAAAACATGAGTGCTATCATACTAAAAGATTAACGTACAGGTGCAAATTACTCTGAGGACTAACCAAATCATAGAAATGAAAGCAACAGAAACATAAAGTAGATGCTGTTTCAATGCAAATAATGATAAATGAAAACATTGAATAGTGCTGTTAATAGTTTTTTTTTTTACCTGAAACTGCACTGGTTCCATTACCAACAGAAACATGATTTGCATCCTTAGGAACCTGTGAAGACTGCTTTTGTGGTTGATCGGGTAAAACTACTGAACCGGATGGAACTAGAGCAGCTAGATCAGGGGGTTGATCTTTCCCCACTGTAGGATTGGCCTGGAGAGGAATAAGGCAGATATATAATGATCGACAATGAAACAATTAAAGATTTTTCTTTTAAATGATGTGCCTCGAATTGACTCACCTCCAAATCAACATATGAGGGATTTCTTCCAATTGATTTAAGAAACTTGTCAAGATCGCATGCTTTTATAGCTGCATTTGTAAAGACAGGACTATATTAACTGAACTTTTAGTGCATCAAAGCATAATAGATCTGACATGAGCATCAAACCTTGTCTTACATCAACATAGATGCATAGATGAGGTAAAAGATGTCATTCGAAAACAAAATACGACCACTATTTAACATTTAATTTCCGAACTGTCAAATAGTAAGTAAGCATGAAAGGAAATCCTGTTTGGACTTCAGATATCAATTGATGGACCATGGTGTTAGAAAATGCAAGTAAAAGAATTCCCTAGGGGGAGTATTGCATCTATGTAATATTCATCAGCTTTAAAAGTGTTATGTAAAATGCGCAAACAAATTTATTTCCTTTTCACAAGAATCTACTTGCTTACATATAGACATGTCATTCGACAGTGGATGGAAGAAGCAGTGCTCCTGAGTTTTGAAACCTTGATCCAATAGCAATGAAACATCTCTTCAGAAAGGAGATGATGTGACATGAAAGAAAAATACATTAGTTCCTTATAAATATATTAACTGAGTGGATCAGAAAAATGTTCACAAATAGTTAGTCAAGCAAACATATAAACATCAACAAAACAGTACAAGCAAGTATGGTTAAGGTCAAGACATTATTAATAATTCACAGATTTAATTCAGCATTCAAGAGAAGATCATTTTATATTTGATGGCAGGAAAGAAGCAACAAACACATTCAAAACTAGTAGGAACTTCATAAATAAACAAAGTAACTTGATGAGAAAACTAGAAGAAAAATAGAAGAATATGGTTTAAGCCTAAAATAGCAGCAACAACAAGGAAATCATTGATGGATGGATTTCGAATTGCAACATCTTAATAGTGCAAAATGGGACAGTATTGCCGTAAACATGGCTATGTAACCGAACAATTCCCATGAAAAATATTAAATATCTCATAACCAAACAAAGAAATAAAAACAGCATACCGTGCTGATTCATTCACTAGTGCAAACGGAGTGACACAACCCAGGGGTACCTGGCGAAATAAGGAAAACAACGGCATCAAGTAATACAATAATTTCAATCATGACAACACAATCTTGATTTTCTTCTTAAATTTTATAATAATTGATTTCTTGCCAAGCACAATACCAGTTATCATCATACAACTGAAACTTATGGTATCGGCAGTATCAACATGCAACAAAAATAGACTACAAGGAACGTTTTACATTGATTGATAAAAAGGTTCTAAATATATAGATTAGGAATCGCTAAACAAGGAAAATAGCGGAAAATCCATAAGGATGATGAATATGCTACAGATAAAAGCTATGAAACGGTTTCCATGACAAATTGGATAAATCCTTGGTCCGGAGCAAGTTTGACTGCATTTATCAATTTCCGCCATCAACTCAATCAGTAATTTGTGAATGCTTTAATATGAATTGTTTAACTTATACATTATATAATGCACAAAAATATCAAGGTAATTGGTCAAATTTTACACTTCATGAGTAGAAAAAAAAAATCCATAATTTTTATGCAAAGACTGTCAAGAAGCCAAGACAAATTCCAGAGCAAAAGCCTCTAAAGATTTTTGGTAGTCACTTAGATAGACACAGCTACTAATAAAAGGGAAGAATTAAAGAGAGAAATGACTGTTCCAACTACAAAATGATAGAACAGAGGCATAGACAGACCTGAAGTACTTCACCTAGAGCCTCCTCAGGTGCCATTCTGAGACCACCTTTTCCCAAACCAAGCCGCTGAGATAATACTGCTCAGCTTTGAAGCAACAAAGAAATTCATTGATACATATTGAAGTAAAATAATACAAACTCTCAATGTTCACAAAATCATGCATACCTTTAAGATCTACTTTGGTAGCAGCTAAAGCAGAAACAACATACAGTCTGCTTTTCTTATCCTGTTTAAATTAAAAAGACGGCCGTAATCAGGGCATACCCATAACATAACGATTTATAAACAAAGAACAACAGAGGTGTATGGACTTTGATTTTCCTCTTTAATTATACTACACCTTGAGAAACAAATTCTTACTGAGCCCGCCCCCCAAATGTCCAACATACTGAGCCTGAAGGTAAGATAAAGGACACTCAATCAGATGTAATATTACAATAAAATGAACAAGAAAGGGAAAATCTAGTATTGTATTAACGGGTTTTACCTGAGCGTCAACGGTCAACACAACTGGATGTTCGTATTGGGAAAATGGAATCTGAAGCTCCTGTGAATGGTAACGTTCCAAGATGGATTAGGATTGAGGCATTTCGTGATTACGGATAGGTAAGAAAAGTGATTAAATAGGAAAAAAAACGAACCTTCAAGCGCGCAAGAAGGTTTTCTTTGGAGAAACCCATGAACGGAGACGAAATGGTGGAGAGGCTAGTGCAGTGGAAACGATTGTTATGGCAGAGGAAACACAAGTGCCAATGCTCTGATCTAAACCCCAAAAAACAATCAGATATGGGTGGGTCTGCTTTTCTTATAACACTGGATCACACTGTTAATTCTTATTAGGGTTTTACTATTCCCAACCTGTTTTTTCTAAAGTTCACACCTGATCTAGATAAAAAAAATTAAAGAACTAAAAATAAAGACCTCAGAATGGATAGACCTACTTAATTCTGATTAGTTCATCAAGATACCATAATATCTTTATCGTTAATAAAGAAATTTATTTTCTATACACAATTTTTTAGTTTTTAATAATTATTTTTTAAAATTTTTTATTATATTTGACAATTACAATGAGTTTAAATTGAAAAGGTTGAGAGTGAACTTATCAAACAAAAGTGGGGATAGCAAAGCATTCATATATATTCCACCTTCAAATTCTACAAAAAGGAGTTACTATTTACACTCCTTTTGAGTACTCCTAAACTCCCTTTAATAAATTCTTTTCCAACATACATCTCAGAATTTGCACTCGTTTTTATAAATAAAAAACTTAAATATTTGTTCATATTTTCGTTGACTACGTCAGGGATTCTTTTTTTATAATATTTAATATGGTTCTAATTTTAATAAATTATGTTGGATGTGGTCATTTTTTATCACGTTGTTTAAATTGTTAACGAGATACACATTAATAACATTTGAATAAATTGTTCCATTTTTGTTTACATGGCTCGTCTTATGCAAGGTGAGAATTGGATTTAATTTATTTTATTGTATTTTGAAACCAAAATTGGCCGTAAAAAGGAAACTAGGATTTCCGAACTACATGTGGGTTTCATGCATTATATAAATATTTTGAGTTAAAATTTGATATATATTAAACCAATTAGAAATTATTCTAAATTTTGTTAAAATAATTATTACAAAAAATAAACATTTCACTATATGTGAGAACATGATTGGAAAAAATAGAAGGAAAACTCATTAAGATGATGCAACACTTTTTATTAAAAAAAAAAAAAACTGATATCATTACAAAAGGCATATTTCAACTTTCAAGGAATAAGCTCTATTTTCTTTTTCCTTACAATGCAAGACTGAAAAATGTCAAGTTTTACTTATTTATTTTTTGAAAAAAAAAATATAATATAAGGCTGGTGGTTAAGGTACCTGGTTTACTTTATTATCTTCAAATCTGTTTATCATATTCTTCAATTTAAAGTTGTTATGACATTTCCAATTTGTTGTCTGTGTGAAACAATAAATAAACAATAAAATATAACTAATATAATTCAAATATATGAATATATATCCAGTAAATCATATCTACAAACCTGAACTTAATGAATATCATTAATTTCATATTCACATCATTAAAAGAGAATTTATGCAATATTGCAACTACTTTTTAAATTAAAAATCAATATATTTATTTTTATTGAAAACCAATGTTTTCTTATACCTATGAGACACTTAAAATAAATAAATAAATATATATATATATATATATTAATTTTGTAGTTAATTATTTTCAAATAAGTTTATATTTTAAAATAAAAATATGATATGATTAATATTGATAAGTGTTTACTAAAATATGAAATGTTTCTCCATCGTAATCGGATCATGTTGAGTTTGTTAAACACTAATGTGTTCATAGATTACCTTTAACAATAAATAAGTAGTGCTCCTAATTGTAATGTGTTTTTTTATATCACAAATAGTAAACATAATTAAGTTCTTGTTCACTTGAATGAATTTGAGAGAGAGTGATTGAATAGATTTGGGAGAGAGTGATTGAATGAATTTGAGAGGATTTGAAGGTAAATTTTTTGTTGTTTATTTGAGTGAATTTTGGAGATAAGTGAAAGTGAATTTGAAAGTAAATTTTTTTAATCTGTCACATCAATCAAATTCTACACTAATTCTCACAAACTTTAGTTCCAAATCTACTTTTATTTACTTCCAAAATTCACTCAAATAAACAACAAAAAATTTAACTTTAAATTCTCTCAAATTCATTCAATCACTCTCCTTCAAATTTATTCAAGTGAACATGGGCTAGATGTCGATTTTTAATAAAGATGAGCATCTCCAAAATGGAAACTTCTAATAGGAATTTCGGAGACTTCTAATAGGAATTTCTTACAATAATAGTAATTTTTTAATCTGAGTCCCAGACACATGTTTCAAGTATCTCTCATAGATATGTTTCAAGTTAATAAAGATGAGCATCTCCAAAATGGAAACTTCTACAATATAAATACTCAATTAAATCACCTTAAACTTCGTACAATTAATATCTTCAAAAAGGAAAATTAGTACAACTAAGGCATCAAACATTTGTGCACAACAAACATTTCACCCACAGCTCTACACATTTGTTTCGTTTCATCAATATCATAAGCTTTACTCAAAACATTTGCTTAGATTGAAGTCTATCCCTTCTAGAAAAACAGGGTATATCAGTCCCTTTCAGGGGAAATCATTTTCAGCAAATGCTAACTGTGAATGCCTTTTCCCATTGACAAAATACAGAAGGAACTCTTATATATAATCGCTGCTCAATAATCAAAACCAGTTACCACCATTCGATTAGCTCCAAGAAAGAAAGAATCAAACTCTCCAATTTCCGCATAGTCCTTGCAGGGTCAACCCACAAACCCCAAAAGGATTCCCAAGAAGAAAAACTATACAATGTTTGAGTCATCTCCAAAACTTGAGAAAACAATCTGCTGTGGGTAAGTGTCACAATAAAGCAATATCTATATGAGCTTCTTCTTACGAAAGAAGCGCTTCAGATACCATAGCTGCAACACCGAAACACAGATGCAGATGCCAAGAGATAAGATACTGAACCAAGCCACTCTAGCATTTGTTGTTTCACTAACTTCCCTCATCTCCTCTTCCCTGTATCATTGTCCAAGAGAAAAGGAAGTTTTGAAATGTTTTAATAAACATAATGGATGCTTCGCAATAATTTTATAGCAGTTATGTTACTCAGTCACACATCACCACCACTGTTACGTAATGCAGCTATTTCGAAGAACCTATCATAAGGCCTCATACAAATAGATAGCATCCTACTAAATACAGCTGAAATCAAGCATGAATAGAAGAGATTTACCTATTCTTCAAATAAATTAGATTGTCCCGGATGGCTTCCACGGCTCCTTCAAGTTTCCTTAGCTCAAGTTCAACACCCTAAAACCAATGCCCGAAAAGAATGCGTATGAAATTTAAATTAAACACACACTTCAGTACAGATAAACATGCATTGTACATATTACAAAGGCAATGATACAGAACGAATGATACCTTAAATTTATTTAGGCTAAACTATTCAATTAGTCTCCATAGTTATTTCTATTTTTAGTCTTTCCATGAGAAACATGTAAGTTTTACATATACACACACACACACACTTAAAAGTTAAGTTTTGGTCCTTAAAGCTAATATCATAAAACCAGTGATAAACCAGTACAAAAATTTGTGAGGACTCAAATGTACAATTTGTTCCTGTACAGACTTAAACCTCAAATGGAATTAAGGGGGAAAATTGAATAGTTTAACCCGCATTTATTTATCACCTCTATCTTTTCCTTTCTTGCAACGGAGTCCCAATCTTTGGCAGCGATTCCAGTTTTCCATTCAAGGCTGATTGTGGTCTCTACTCCACCTTCTTGATGTTTGGTATCCATCCAAAAGCACGCCACATAGTTCCCACTCTCCGAAGTTGTAAATGCAAACTGACCATGGGTAACATTTTCATTCTGGTGAAGATTATTTCCATAAGGGGATGTCACCTGAACAAAAAAAAAAGAGTCATCATCAAAATCGAGTTGATCATATGAACTCTACGAGTATACTATCTTATTGTACTATGAGTTAATTAAAACCGTAGTTCACAACATTCAATTTCATTAGCAAGGAAGAAATCTACCATTACTAATACAGCCCTAAACTTGCCAAGGAACTACAACTGGGTATGAGAATAGTAACAAATCCGTGACAAAAACATAAATAAACGGAGTCTTGAACAGCTTAATCATGTATATAACCTTGACAGAAACTGTTTGAGGCTGGTGACCCTTGCCATCCTCGGCTACAACGTAGTAATCTGCTAAAACGACGACGTGTGCCTGGATTTCCTCAGACATGCACTTAGTTCCCTTACTTGGGATGGTTAACCATACAGCCTCGGTTCGAAGGAGCATGAGAGTGGTGAAACATAAGAACAAGAGTAGAGGATTTGGGGTTCCAGAGCTTAGGTNTTCGCCATTTAGGTCCCTAAATATCCAAATCTTCTGAAAAAAGTTGTGTTGTACTCGAGGCCGTGGGTTCTCAGTTTTCTAACAAAAAAAGATACATGTGTATAGCTTTCTTAAGCGATCATGAGATCACTAACTTTTAATATTAAGTTTTCACGTATAGGTACGGCCAACATTCATCAAAAATTATAAACAAGTTCTCACATCACCTACAGAGCAGAGCCTATGCATGGCAAGGAACTTTACGTTAAACTTTCAATGTTATAATGTCTCTACAATAGAATTATGGAGTTCAGTTCGAGTTTTAAACTAATTTCATTTACGAGGACTTTTACTTTAGTTAAATCATCACCATACTATTCCAAGTTGATAACTAATTCAGAACAGAACGGCAATGTAACAGAACTACCGCTTTTAGTTTCCTTTCTGTGAAAAAAACAAACATTTTATCACTGCACTGATATAATAAACAATAATAGTTTCCTCTAAAGAACTTACACGATCTCTGTGTAGCGAAGTCTCCATGCAGGAAAACCAAGATGGCTCCTCACAGGTCCATAAACCAGTAAAAGGTCAGGCTCAGGGCCTTTGCTACCTGATCATAGTGATAGCTACTTTTCTGAACAAGGCAATCAACTCTGAAACTATTACTAGGTCTAGAAAGCAAACATACCAACAATTTGCAATGCTTCATTCAAGTGAGATTCTAACGATCTTTGAGCATCTAGTTCTCCAGCCAAGCAATGCTGTTTCAAGTTCTCCACAAAAACCAAGTTAGCTGCTTTCGCCACTGCCTCCTTCCCATCCACATAAGAAAGAAACTCCAGAGTCATGTGATCATGAGCATGGTGTGTAACAACTTGACTAACTTCCTGCACTGAGTTAATGCTAGATCAGATCAAACAAGTGACATAACAGCAACGTTACTATTCATGCTTGACAGCAATGGCAGCTGAATGAGCCATTTATAATCCATATTTTCTACTAATGCATCTTTTGGAGGCAGAGGGAAAATACAAAGAGAACATATGATAAGAATCATGTATTTCATCTTCTAATGAATAATTTCTTAGACAATGCTCCAAAAATAATCAAATACTGCAAGTAAACCCCATTGTCTATGAACATTTTAAGCCAATGACAACGGAAATGAAATCAGATGTACCCAACAAATTTCGTGTGTAAAACCAATTTAATCTAGGACGCATGATCTACCACAATCTAAAAAAGGGTTTGGTTACATATCTTTCCTCATCACCTAATTGAATAGTAGAAAGAAGTCAAAGAATCAAACAGAATTAAATGAGGAAAAGGTGGGATCCAAAATTGATTAACATGGGAAAAATATAGGACACACCCAGTCACATGCAGGTTAAAATCATAACTCGATGCCAAACTTATCAATACATTAACAAAGAATCAATCTGCAAGGAAACAATTATATGGTACCTGAATGGATTTTGCATTCTTCAAATTTTGAAGTATGGTTTCCTTAGACTTCTTCAGTACTCCTAGAATGAAGAGTTCAAGGAAAACACTATTATATGGCCTGAGTAAAAGAAACTTTATAATCACTGGTTCTCCAAACCTTTCATACCATTCATGTCATAGAGGCACACATTCTTCACACCAATAGAGTCTAGCCACTTCAACAGTTTAACAAGTTCCGAAATCTGACGAGCTTCTTCACTTTCTATGACAATGGCAAGGTACTGAACCTTTTCTGAATGAAGAGACTTGTATTTCTCTAGTACTCCAAGAGAGATGAAGTAGCTCTCCAACAAATTAACCACGACTACTATGGAATACCATGCGCTGACAATTATTTGTAGGAAGTGCCATAGCAGTCGAAGCCAGAGATCTCCAATCTGTAGAAGCCTTAAAACCCACAATGAATAGACTTAAAGTTTAGGTTGAATGGGAAAGGATATGGTCAGTTGCATAGGCTAACCATTTACGTTAAATATCATTGTGTTCAACAATACATAGATCAAAGATGACGCAAAGCAACATGTATTTAGATTGCAATCTTTCTACACTAGCGTGGACTCTGTTAACAAAATTGACTTATGTTGGAAAATGTAGCAGGAATAATTCGTTTATCTTATAGAATAAGTAATTTAGTGATTTAAAATTGCCAGTTTTGTACGCACCTTTAGACATAGATTACCAGTTTCTTACGGTCTACACGTCAATTCAGGATCTAGATAGTTATCATTTTTCTCTTGTATTGGTCTATTTTTTTATTCAGTGCTTGGATTACAGCGCTTGGAGATGTGTCTATGACAGCATGATATTTGAAAGAAATAAAGTGCTTGAAATTCAAAGAATTAACTGAAACATCACAGGGTCTCTAAACAACTTTTAATTAGAGCTCAAGTTAATAAATAATAATTGGTTATTAAATTGAATGAATATTTCGTTTCTACTAAAAAACATTAATATGACATAGATATCTCACAGAATATTATTAAGTACTGTTGTTATTGCAACTACAGCAGAGAAAAGCTCTTCAAAATTAAAATTAGTATTCCTATATGTCTAAAAAAAGATTGAACAATTTAGCTATTTTATCAATTAAGAAAATTTGAACACCTAACTTTGATTATATACAAATTTAATAGCGGGTGCAAGAAAAATATTTCTTTGAAATATAGTGTGCAGACAGTTGCAGTACTGATGGAAGATTTGGCAGAAGGATATGAAGTGATGAAGACTTACAGTAACAATACACCAAGAAAACTTGTGAGCTCCATCTCTAAAATCCATGGATCCTAAAAGTACGAAAAACATCAATTAGATCAATTTCAAAAGGAGAAAGAGGGTAATAAAAGAAGCGAGCATGTAAACATATATACACGAGTAACAGTTAAACTGGAAATAATAATTAATAATTGGTGCAATCAAAGTGGGAAACTGAAGAAGATGAATCCATAAAGCAAGAAACCAAAACATGAAGGCAGCAAGCAATAGACTAACACAGACGTGAATGCAAAATTGCAACGAAAAACATACAAGAGGCCCCCGCTAACTAAAACCGGGTTACGATTCAGCAAACACTTAAGAGAATAGGGAAAATCACAACATGAATAAAGAGCGAAAGGAGAAAACGGAATGGCACCTAAAAGAGAAACCCAACGAAACAAAATCGTTTAATTTGCGGCGCCAAGCGAATAACAACAGAGAAGAAAGTGATGATGAAAATTATTTAAATTATTGTATTTAACCAGTCGTGCGCAGATCAAATTATTTTGATTGGTGAGGAAAAAAAAGCAAAGTATTATTTGTCTCGGAAAATAAATTATTGTTGACTACTACAATCTTTAAACTATAGATTTATTTTAATAAATTATTTTGTATGCTCATCTTCGTTTATTTTCATTTATTTTATTATAATTTTTTATTTATCTTTTGCATCTTTGAAATTCAATAATAGTGAGAGCGAAAAATAGTATTACTGACTTGACGATATTTTTTAATTAATTTTTCAATTCTTTCGTATTTGATCTATTTCATTGACTATAAAATTCCCGTTTATTTGTTTCTTCCTACTTATTTGTTTCGAAATGTCATGCAAAAACATGAGTGCTGTCATACTAAAAGATTAACGTACAGGTGCAATAACATGAGTGCTATCATATTACAATCTGATATAATATTACAATAAAATGAACAAGAAAGGGAAAATCTAGTATTGTATTAACGGGTTTTACCTGAGCGTCAATGGTCAACACAACTGGATGTTCTTATTGGGAAAATGGAATCTGAAGCTCCTGTGAATGGTAACGTTCCAAGGTGGATTAGGATTGAGGCATTTTGTGATTGTGGATAGGTAACAAAACTGATGAAATAGGAAGAGAACGAACCTTCAACTGCGCAAGATGGTTTTCTTTGGAGAAACCCATGAACGGCGACGAAATGGTGGAGAGGATAGTGCAGTGAAAACGATTGTGATAGCAGAGGAAACACAATTGCCAATGCTCTGATCCAAACCCCAAATAACCATCAAATATGGGTGGGTCTGCTTTTCTTATATCACTGCTTCACACTGTCCATTCTTATTAGGGTTTTACTATTCCCAACCTGTTTTTTCTAAAGTTCACGCCCAACATATATCCCAGAATTTGCACTCATCTTTCTATAAATAAAACCATTACCTCCATTGAATTGAAGGCAACCATTGACCAAAGAGCACAGGTTCTTAGCTGGTCTTTTGAATCAAATGAAAATTCCTAAATCAATGAAAACAAAAACGCAAAGCATGTTCTGTTCTCACTTGACCAGTGAATAAATCAGAACCCAAACCACAGATAAAAATTGAAACAGAGAGGGAGAGGGAGAAGAGAGACCTTGTCAGCGGTGGCGTCGCTGAAAAATGGCAACAGTGGCAGCAGGGCGAGGTGAACAGATAGGCTCAGAGTATCTTTCTATTGTTCTCTTTTTCTTTTTTACAAACCACGTTTTATTTTAAGGAGATTTTCGACAATTCCAATTTTTAATTTTCTGATTGTTCTAATAAATTTTTATTTTTAAAAGAAAATTTTTAGTCAAATAGTTTTTTAACAATTTAATTTTGTTTTAATTTTAAATAAAATAAAATAAAAAACTAATTAATCTTTTTTAAAAAAAAAATCATTTCATTTTTTTATTTGTTATTTTTAGGATTAATGGTTTTACAAACGGCCCAACACTGTGCACTTAATCCAGTGTGTGTGGCCCAGTCCAATGCGGCTTGGTATTTGTCAAGCATTGTGACTTCCAGCGTGGCAGAAACAGACCACGAGAAACCTGAGGGAGAAGCGAGATTAGGGCGTCGAGAAGCTTCGCCTCGGGAGCTGCTTCAGGAGCGATCCGGCGACGAAGGAGACCACTGTTCGAGGTGATGATGAAGACGAAAATGGAGAGGATAAAGAGAGAGGTAAGAAAAACTCTTCCTTGTATTATTTTGGTGTGTCTGAAAATATTACATGCTCTGTCAATCGTATTGTGAAACTGCAACAGAGAAGCTCTATTTATAGAGCTTCTGTAAACCCAAAACAGTAAACAAACAAAACTGTAAAACAACCGTAACAGACTAACTAACTGTAAATTACAAGACTACTGTCTCTTGTTGACAGTAGTGAATATTTATTCCCAATAGACTACACTAATTGCAGTGCAGTAAAATGCGCTGCAGCTTTGTAAACAAGTTTTAAATGTTATAAGCAAGTTAAGAAACAACCTAAAACCTACCTCTGTACAAAAACTCAAAAATTGACTATTGAGAACCTAAAACTATGCTAGAACTCTCAAATCATGAAAAATTCTCTAAACTAACGGATGAAACTGTAATGTAACTATCTAAACATGTTTTAAATGGTACAAGACTATTGAAAACTATGGTAACTAATGAAAATAGGAAAGAAATCAAAATCTGCTTATGAAAACCGGAAAGATGCACTAGAAAGGTCAAAAGTTGCAAATTGCACTAAAGTAACCTAAGAATGTGCAATGTTCTTATCCTAACAAGAGTAAAGTAGTTAAATGAAGCTAAGAAAGATGTCAAATTGTATCAAGTAGCTAAATATCAAAATTTGGCTACTTAAAACCTAAAAAGTGTACTAAATAGGTGAAAAAATGGGAATTCACCTAAAGTAACCTAAGAATGTACAATCTTCATATCCTAACAACTTTAAAGTACTTAAATGAAACTAAGAAACATGTCAATTTCAAAGTAGTACACAAATCTCAAAATTAAAGTACTTAAAACCTAAAAAGTGTTGTAAATAGGTGACAATTTCGAAATTGACCTAAACTAACCTAACAATGTGTAATGTTCTTAGTCTAACAAGTTTAAAGAACTTAAATGAAGCTAAGAAAGATGTCAAATTGTATGAAGTAGCTAAATATCAAAATTTGGGTACTTAAAACCTAAAAAAGTGTACTAAAAAGGTGAGAAATTAGGAATTCACCTATGGTAACCTAAGAATGTGTATTCTACACATCCTAACAAGTATAAAGTTGTGAAATGAAGCTAGGAAAATACTCAAAAGCAATAAACTACCTAAAACTCAAAGTTTGAGTAGTTAGAACCCAAAAAAGTGTACTAAAAGGGTGAGAAAATGGCAATTCACCTAAAGTAGACTAAGAATAACTAATGTTAATATTCTAACAAGTCTAAAGTAATGAAATGACACTAGGAAACTACTCAAAAGCAAACAAGTACCTAAAACTGAAATTTTGAGTAGTTAGAACCTAAAAAAGTCTACTAAAAAGGTGAGAAATTTGCAATTCACCTAAAGTAGACTAATTTTAACTAATGTTAATATCCTAATAAGTCTAAATTAGTCAAGTGAAGATAGGAAACTACTCAAAAGCAAACAAGTACCTAAAACTCAAAGTTTGAGTAGTTTCAACCTAAAAAGTTCACTTAAAAGGTGACAAATTGCCAATTCACCAAAAGTAGAGTAATTTTAAGTAATGTTAACATCCTAACAAGTCTAAAGTAGTGAAATGATGGTAGGAAAGTGGTCATAAGCAAAAAATTCCCTAAAACTCAAAATGACACTACTTAAAACCTTAAAAAATGTAGTAAAAAGTACCTAATTGAGTCATTACA